TAAACACAAACACACACACACACACACACACACACACACACTGAAGATTTTTAAACAGTAGTGCAAATAATTTATGTACATATAAAACATTTTTTTTTTGAGGCATAGATTAAATAAATCAGATTCACAAGGCAAATGATGGCAAATGATGACAAAAACAGTGTGCATGTGTGTGTGTGTATATATATATATATATATATATATATATATATATACAGTATCTCACAGAAGACAGCAAATTTACACTGTTATACAAGCTGTACACTCACTACTTTACATTGTAGCAAAGTGTCATTTCTTCAGTGTTGTCCCATGAAAAGATATAATAAAATATTTACAAAAGGGGTGTGAGGGGTGTACTCACTTCTGTGAGATACTGTATATATATATATATATATATATATATATATATATATGTGTGTGTGTGTGTGTGTGTGTGTGTATGAACTATTACTTCAAATTTACTTGATAACATACTTTTGGAGCAAATCCTAACCCACTCAAATTGCTCAAATCACACAGTGTGACCCCTGAACCCCTTTCTGATTTTGATTATTAATTATCATTATCAGAAAAGGCTGCAATATTAGAATCACATAAGCTGCTTCACCAGCTCCAAATGACTTGCCATACACCCACTCACTAGTCTGTATAATACTGAGAGCATGCTTGACGTTCCTATAAAAAACAAACAATAGACGACCCATTTCATAAGAGCCATGTGAATATGAATCTAACTACTGAAGTGAGACGCTCAGTGAATATGTCAATTCTATCACACTACGGGCACATGCTCCGTTCCATGCTACAAATCCTTTGACCTCCTTCTGGAAGCTTTATTATCCTTTCTGCTGGCAAACACTCCACTGCCACGTACAGAGTCTTGAGTTCAATTAACAAATTCATATGATTGAATTTCTCCCCACAAATGTTAATTTAAAAGGCCCAGGTAAAGACCTTTCGAATCCTTTAAGACCGACACCAATCCAGTGCTTTTTAAACTGCTTGTTTTTTTCAGGAAGTCAAATAGTGGAACAGAAAATCTACTTTGGCAAGGCAAACTCCCTTTTTCATTTATCCTACAGAATTGTATTTCAGGCAGTCAGTGCATATACAGAAAGCCCAAAAAGACTGCCAAGTGCGTGTTAAATTTTATTAAGGGTACAAAGGGTATAAAATTATTAATACAACAACGCCACACATTTCAAATTAAGCTTGACTTTTTATGGAATGCCACCGTGACCTTCTTCAGTGAGGTGCTCATTGCAGAAGGTCACAATCACGTGCATCATGAAATGTCATGTCTCTCAAGGACACAAGTCAAATGAGACACTGGTTGTGATGTTCTCACTGTGAGTTATGACACAAATGGCATAGCGAGGTCGAGTGCAGTTTTATGTGGCATAATGGCAGTGGAAAAGTGTCATAATTATGCCACTCAAGGTAGTTTAGAACTTTACAAACACCTATAGAATCACCTCAAACTTACAATCGAATAAAAATAAAGTTGTAAATAATACAAATGTTTATTAAATTTAAATTAGATTTTTAAATGCATCTAATACTTATCTTATTAAATTCATTGTTTTTAATAAACTGATATTTATACAGTTGGATCTGCTACAGTCTCAGCTAAAATAAACTATAATCACTTATCCTGTGTTCATTTTTCTCTACAGACAAAACACAGATCATAATGTTCTTTTGCATAAATACAGTTTGCATTCTATAAAACACCTCCAAATGAATAAATAACTGCAGTAACATAACCAATGCCACTATCTACTGATTTATTACTGCAGTTTCAATGCAGTGCAGAAATGCCATATGGTAACAGTCATGCTTTTTTTTTTTCAAATTACTGTAAAGCTTTATGAGACAAAGCTGAGTTGTCAGCAAATCAAAGAACAAATTCCAGAGGTAGAAGAAATGCACACATATGTATAACAATAAATTGAAGGAAAATTATATATTGACAAGGTTGTTTGTGATAAACGTAAAAGGCAAGAAAATCTAGAAATCATGAGTGAATAAGAACAACTCACCATGGAAAGACACACGACCTCTCGCAGCATTCTTTCCGCGACTGTTTTCCGCTATGCACTCATATGTCCCTGTGTCCTCTTGTTGAAAATTTGGAATCTCCAGAATGGCGTTAGAATTTTTCAGTTTGACTTTGTTTGGGAATGAAACGTCACTGGTTCTTCTCCAGCTGATCTTGGGAACTGGACTGTGAATCCGCAACAAAGCCACCATTAGAACATACAAATTCATTTGAAAGACAAGTTTATCTAAAGCAAATATACTTTTTAACTATTATATAATAGTTATAATATATGTTTATTCCCTGCGAGTCAAATCATTACCTTGACATTTTTTTTATCAAAAACAACATACATTGCATTCAAGCTATACATTTTATTATTATGTATAGGTCTTGCTTTTACATTTTATGCATTTGGCACTTTTATTCAAAGCATTCAATGTATTTAATCATTCATGCATTCCGTAGAACCAAATGCATGACCTTGGTGATGCTGCCACAATGTTCTACCAGCTACAGGAACTTTTTCTCATTCACAGAATTCCATCTGTGGAATTATAAGGTTAACTCCAGAATTATGGTTTAACATAATATTCAGTGAGATGAAATCAATTTGGCAGAAGCTTTTATCCAAAGTGGCATACACTGCATCCAAGTTATCCTTTTTAATATTATGTGCAGATCTTGTATTTACATTTATCCATTGGCAGACACTTTTATTCAAAGAATTCAAGGCATTTTATTAATCATGCTTGCATTCCATTGAAACCAAATTCATAACCTTGGCATGTCTAGCACCATATTCTAACAGCTACAACTTTTTTCATTCACACAGTTTCAGGTGAGGAATTACCAGGTCAAAATTATGGTTTAATGTAATGTTTGGTAAGAGGAAATTAGTTTGGCAGTTGCCTAAAGTGACATACAGTATATTGCATTCAAGCTATGCATATTATTATTAATAATAATTATTACCAGTATATAATTTTAGGGTCAGTACAGTTTTTTTATTTAATTTTTTTAGAAACTAATACTTTTATTCAGATTGGAGTAATGGCTGCTGACAATTCAGCTTCGCCATCACAAAAATGTAAAATATGTTAAAATAGAAAGCAATTATTTTAAACTGTAATAATGTTTCACAGTTTTACAGTTTCTACTGTATTTTTGATCAAATAAATGCAGCTTCGGTGAACATAAGAGACTTAAACATTAAACAATCTTACTGACCCCAGACTTTTATGGTAGATGCTTTTATCCATGCATTTAACTTAAGCATTTTGATCTGTTCATGCATTTCCTAGGACTCAGATCCATTACACACCATGCTGGTGTTGCTAGCATCATGCTCTACCAGCTACAGCAACTTTGTCTGAGGAAGTGAAATTCCATAATGTTTGGAAAGAAAATCCATTTCCCCCTCATTTCTTCAAAGCTGTACCCTATTAAGAAAATCTGAGTGTGAATGGATCTGATTCACGTTAGAATCTGGGGTGACACGCTCCTTGTCTGGTGTGAAAAGCTATCATCTCCCGCTTTTTGAAAACCTGCATTACTCCCCTCTTTAAACGACAACCCTCTTCCTTTGAAAAGAAGCTCGCAGCTCTATTTCCACACTATTTAAGGAGTAAATCTTGCGGGTCATTGCTCTCTGCAAAGAGGGCCATTATGGTGAAAAGCTCTCTGTAAAAAGCTTCCGTGACAGATTGCAAATCGTATTAAGAATGAACCTGAAGTGCTGATCACAAATTCGGTGTATTTTATAACGTGGGTTAAAAATAAATAACGCTAAGCAAGGGTGTGAACTCAGGCAACAGTTTGCGGCAGTAGAACGCAGACAGACGCAGGTGCATGCATGTTGGACTTACTTTCCCAAGGCAAAGCATTCTAGCTTCAACGTGGATCCTTTAGCAGCTGGAATGGTGTCGGGGAAATGAAGCTCTATTTTAGGCTCGTACTCTCCCATCGCGCCTGCCATGGGCAGACAATACAGCACAGATGCATACGACATTGTCATTCATGATTTATGATATACAAGCTTTGTACTCCAGAATACAAGCAAAACAACAACAAATGGCAAAACACAAAGACCTGTCAATGAGCAGGGAAGCTGAGGAGATTGTGCCAAAAATACAGAGACATGTTATTAAAGATTTATGGAACACACATAATAAAAACAGGATCCATCTCAAATGGAAATGTGGCCTCCTTTGAGGCATTGTCAAGGGTGTGGGTTAGTGTTCTTAAAAGAGGCAGTTTAGCTTTCAAGACAGTGGCATAAATAGATCTCTGACATTTACGAATGAAACAGTATTTTACCGTAAAATTACATGAAATGTCCCATTACATCTATTACAGTTTTTCGTATAGAGGCCTGTTCACATCAGGAACGATAACAATAACTATATTAGTGTCCACACTGAAATCACATTCTGTTTATAATAAGCATATGCTGCAGCTCATCTGCCACTTTAAATTTTCAAGCTCTTTCAAGCAGGATGGATTCTGATTGGATGTCAATGTTTTTATCGTTCATCATTCAAAGTTATTCCAATGATATTGTTCTCTGTGCCATTATATTTATAGTTGTGGTGTGAACTATTCTTTTAAATTTAAAATTATTTTTAAAACAATATCGTTATCATTAATCATTCTTGATGTCAATGGCCTTAAAGGGATAGTTCACCCAAAAATAAAAAATTGCTACTAATTTGCTGTCAGTTTCTTGCACAGACCGATCTTTTCACTTCATAAGGCCTCAATATATCGTCATAAGCCACGGGTGTTAATTTTGTGTTCCTTGACATGATTTTTTTTAGTTCTCAAAAACGTGCTGCCGCTGACTTTTATGAATCACCAAGGACCACGGTTTCATCTAAAAATCATCAGCTAAAAAGTAACCTATATCTTGGATGGCCTTAGGATTATTATTTTTGGGTGAACTATCCCTTTGAGGGAACTTACTCTTAGCAAATTCACAGGTTTTTAGCTTAGAATCTTTGCATTCTTTTACCATTAAAAATACAACCTTTTATTTTACAGTGTATGCTCCTATATTGTGTTAAACTGTGCAGTATTTGATGGACACCCCTCTTACCGTCATTTCTCAGAACTAAAGGTGTTGGCGAACTGAACACCCTCTCCTTGGTAACAGTGTTATTAACCACGCAGGTGTAATTCCCAACATCGGACGTTTCCACTTTAGCTATGTAGAGATTCCCCGTCTCTTGGGATACAAAGCGCCGGCTGTCTTGCTGGACGAAGTGAGGGTACTCATTGAAGACCCAGGTGAATGTGAGCTCTAGAAAGATGTCAGAAACGGAGCGTTAGATCCTGACACAGACATTTATACTTTCAGAAAGGTGTTGAGTCACTTTGTTCGGTAAACTATAATCTCGGCTCAAAGGCGCATACAAAGCGTCTGCATTACACCACTCGCTTCGCCTCGGGCTGACCTCCTTAGGGCAGGTAAGGCTCAGTAAACAGAGCGACTCTTCCTTTGTGAGGCGGCAGGAAAGGGAGCGAAACAAACTAGATTAAAGCGCCTCACTGGCACTCTTATGACACATGCCCTGTCCGGCTTCACCGTGGCTGGGGACGGAGGCTTCTCTGTTGGCGTCATTCATGCATGGCTGGCTCTTACTGGAAAGGGCTGAACCAAAGAAGACCGAAGGCCCTGCCACAGTGCATTAGCGTGTCATCTACAGGAGACTGAGAGGGGGAAGGGAACGGGAATGAGAGGCTCGTGCACATGATGCAACTGTTGGAAAGGTGTACAGGATGGCTGCCACTCAAAAAGTGTCCCCCGAGACTGCACCGCCCATCCTAAGACGGGGAAACACGCTGGCAGGCTGGTTGTCGTGAAGTTGAAAGCAATTCTTTATGATCAGGTCAGCCCGGAAATCCCTGCATCAGAGCTCTGTTAGCTTCATAAGAAGTGATAGCTTTTGTCAAATGCGCTGAACGTAGAGGAAGAGAGAAATTGCGATGGTTACTGAAAACACAAACAAACATGCTGTCCAGAAATACAATGGAGGATCTTTATGAGGGTGTCTGATGTTAGAGGCCTCCACAGAGAAAAATAGGGCAATCATGGGATACTTGACATGACCTCCACATTGTGATAATACAATATCAGAGTTATCTATATTCTATTATGGCATTTTAAGGAAGTGAGGCATAATAGAAATGCTGGAAAAATGGTCTACAGCTGGAAAATAATGGCCGACAAGGTTAAAGTCAAGAGATACTTGTTCTGAATGTACTAAATGTGCCACCATTCAGTCTTTTTATTCGATATATCCATGTTTATGCTTCCACAGAGAACAATAGGGCAATCATGGGATATTTGACATGACCTCCACGTTGATAATACAATATCAGAGTTATCTATATTCTATTATGGCATTTTAAGGAAGTGAGGCATAATAGAAATGCTGGAAAAATGGCCTACAGCTGGAAAATAAAGGCAGACAAGGTTAAAGTCAAGAGATACTTGTTCTGAATGTACTAAATGTGCCACCATTCATTCTTTTTATTCGATATATCCATGTTTATAAATGTAATTAATAGAATTCAGAAACAGAAAGAGCCACACAATTGAAAAGGCACATTGAAAATGTATTTTGATCAAAAATACATTTATTTAATCATCCAAAATCCTTCAGATCAGTCTAATATGCTGATTTTTTAATCAATGTTGGAAAAAGTTGTGCAACTTAAACTTTTTGTGGAAATCTTTTTCAGGATTATTTAATAAATAAAAGTTCTAAAAAATAGCATTTGTTTTGTAACATTATAAATGTAATTACTGTAATTTTTCATCAATTTAAATTAAATATGAATAAATACAATTAAATACTACTAATAATAATAAGAAGAAATCTTACTGACGCCAAACATTTGAACGGTAGTGTATAGTGGATTTTAGCAAATGTGGAGCAGAGAATAAATTTGATCGCATACTATTTTTCAACAGAAAACATAGCGTTACCCTGGAAAAAAGTGTTTTGAATATTACTAGAGTAGAACAATATAGCTTCCTCTACTATGATAAAACAGGTTGGTAATAATAAGTTCAGCAATCTCAACAGACAGCTAGATCATGATAAAGCTTTTTTTTATCTAGCGGGAAACTGCAAATGTGGAGCAGAGAAAACTTACTTTTAAAACATTTGATCACATGCTATTTTACAACAATGAGCATTCAGCATTGCTCAGGGGGATAAATAGTTTAGATGTTTCAAATATTTCTAGTGTAAAACAATACAGCTTCTTCCACAATGATAAAACAGGTTGGTAATAATAACCCATTTGTCTTTTGAGTTCAATATGCAGCCTAAATCTGAACAGATAAAGAGCAACTACTGTATATTGTAATACTTAAACTTATACACAGCACAAACTTTTATAATAGAATCAGTTGAAAATTTGCAAAGCTTAGCATTCTTGTTTGCATTTTGCAGTGATAAACAATTGATTACCTACTCGGCACAGAAAATGCATTCGTCTAAAAAAAAAACATATTTCTCACTAATTGGGTTGAGACTTCAATTTCAGGTCTTTATTTCCATTTGCCTCCAGATTCAGGTCTGATTGAAAAGAAAGTGATCCAAATGAGAAAACAAATGAAGCCAAAGAAAAGATGGCAGGATCTGCGATCCATAGTAAATGAGTTTCTTTAGAAGGTCTAATGCTAACCAGCATGCTTACTCTGAGTAAAATGACCATCAGTGTTTCAAAAACGTGTCTCTTAACCACAAAATGTGCTGATTAAATTTCTGCCTTCTCCAGCACTTTTTGAACGATTTATTTAGGCTTTTTAGTCATACTTAGCCTACGTTTTCAATCGCTGGTGACATTTAAGCCAAACTTTAAAGTATTCTCATATGAAATGCTCCTCTTCTGGGTTCTCTAATTAAACAAATGCTTAATTACAGATTTATCTCAGCAAACTATAATTGCCCAGCCTATGAAACAAATTCACATCTTCTCATTTCTGACATCTCATTTGTCGCAGTAATAGTCACAACCTCTAATTGCTATTGATGTCTCTCACTGCCTGGTTCTTGTTTGCACTTGGGGTCTAATGACTTCTGTCCAATTACAGCTGGTTGAATTACAACCTCAGTCTTGTCTAAGGATAGGCGCTATATGCCTAAGAGAAGCACAATTAACATGCAAACATGCATTTCCGCCACTTTTGTTTCCAGCTTGTGAAACAGCACTGGAGTGTGAATTTCTACTGACCTTTATCACACTTCTCAGACAGTAGAGTAAAAAACAGCCTGTATCAATGGAGGCGACAAGAAACGATGGTGTTTTTTTTCTTTACAATTTAATCACAAACAGTTAATCTAAAAGCCCTACTGCAGTTTCATATAATTTCTCAGGGATGATGAAAAAGAAAAAATGGTTTCATGTTATTCAATGGGATGAAAGGAAGCATTTTATGGATTGAAGAGCAAGTACATACAGTATGTGTGTAGGCAGCACTTCACAGATTCGAAAGTCGAAAGTGAATTGCCATTTGCAACCCATTTTAGTTCCATCTTTTGACATTGTGATGCAGGATATAAAGAAAGTAGGGCAGGACTTTCGTCCATCTGGAATTGATTGGATTGTGAAATGTAGCCCGACTGAATGACAGTATTTGGTTATTGGTTAACAATTATACAATAACTTGCATGACGCAGTGTTGTTAACAAAAAATAAACTATTAAAATTCATTTTCAGTATTTGAAATCAAGTTGAAATAAAATATAAATATTAGTTGAAAAACTTTAAACTTAAAAACCTAAAAAATTTGAAATATCGCCTTGGCAGCTAAGTGAAATTAGCTGACTAAAATTACTAAAAATAAAACTGAAATACAAAGCTATAGATGAAGCCGATAACACAATTACTAAAACTTAACTGCAAATATGAAACATAAGCTAATTGGAAATATTAATAAATAACTATAATGGTATAGAAATAATACTAAAATAACACCGCTGCGGCATAAGTGACATCAAATGATTAAGCAATGCAGAGAGAGAGCATTTTGATTGAAGATTATGAAAACAAAAGTTTCATTTGACTATCCAGTGAATCATTCACAATAACACATTAATAAATGGCGACTTAAAATGGATATATAATAATATACCAACTTACCACCGGAATGCAAAGGTGTGCCACATAACAAAACAACCCCTTGGCCTTCCCTCACATTCACAGCACTTCTTGTCTGCGTTTTGAAGCTTTCCAGATCTGTAACAGATTAAACGTGGAATAAAATACATTTGCATGAGGCAATTATTTTTCATGCATAATGAAAACGGCATTTCATATTATAGCAAAACTAATGGTGAAGCAACGTCGACTGTAATCGTTTAGTAGCGCTCAATATTTGAGAAAGCAAAAAGAAGGAAACCGAATCAGTGATTGAGAATAATCCAAAGCAGACAGTGGGTGTCTAACAATGCAGTCTAGTGAAACACTATGAGGGTGTATGAAAAAAGGGATGCTAACATCGCCTCCACCTACCAGCAGTAAGCCGCATCATTACCAGAGATATCTTAATCTCACCCACTGAGCCAGCAGCCTCCCTGTCAATACATGTCCACACGATTCATCCTCACAAATTAACAGGAGGAGAGGAAGTTGGCAGCCGGCTCGCATACCTGGCATGATAAAAACCTTCTCCTTGTTTCGTGACAGAGAAGTCCTTCTGTAACCGTAGCCTGCTGTGCCAATTCCACACCCTTAAGCAAACAAGCCAAGAGCCAAGCTCCCCAACACAAAAAATATAGAGTCAATGTGTCCGATAAGACAAATTACAGAGCGGGGAAAAAAAACAGAAAAACAAAAGAAGCAGAAGAAAAAATCAGGATTAGGGAGAGGTGGTGGAAAACAATGGGAAAGATTAATGAGAGATTCCCCGCTGACCGAAAAGAAGTCCCACACAGCCGGGTCGTACTGAGCCGTGGTGGAAGTGGAAAGAGCAGGACTTGCTCGGCTCATAGTAACAGGATGAATGGATTAAGAGCCGGAGCGGCAGAGCCACGGGTGCTGATTAATGGTCTCTTGTGTTAAAATCTATAAGGCTGGACTCATGTGATGGCTGTAGGCCGTGTGGTAAGCCAAACATCTTCACAGTGAATGGCGTTGCTTATAAATGGAAAACATTCATATATGGATGTGAGGGATGAAGAGTTGAGCGTTTATTGATTCATTTCCATAACTCTTATTGATTCTTTCTTCTTATGAGATGGTGAAACATTCAACTTCAAGGTCCTATTCATTAAAGGCCTGAAGCTTGGCATACAACTGGTGTTCAATTTTATAAGTGTTAATAAAAAGTAAAACAGAAATAAAAAAATGAAAATAAAATAAATAAATACAAAATGAACGGTTTTATGAAAAAAAAAAATTTCTAAAACCTAAAAAAAAACTTTTTGACACCAAAATTATTTGAAATAAAATAAAAACATCCACAAATTAATTTTTTGATTTTAATATATGGTTTGTCAACTTGAAACCCTTACAAACATATTTGCATAGATAGCAAAAACATTTCAAATTGATATATAACTGTTATTTAATATTGTTAATGCTTTAAATAATACAAGCGGTGAAACTGAATAAAGGAAAACTACAAAAAAGTAAATAAAAAACTAAGTTAAAATGCTAATTGAAAATAGAAAATAAATAAAAATTAATCAATTGAAAAAATAAAAATACAAATTAATTATTTAAAATACATTAAAACTATAATAACCATGATTGCTAAGGCATTGCTATGTGGTTACTAAACTGTTCTAAGTGGCGATATACAAAAATACAAATTTAACATGCTTTTGATCACCCCATTACAATTTTATTTTTATATAGGGTCTGCTGGTTAAAGATCTGAATAGGCTTTGAATTCTAGGGAGCTTGTGTGAGCCATGGTTTGTCAGGTCACAAATCTGCTCTGCTGCTATTGCACCCTTGAGAAAGGTACTCATTCCAAACTCGCCCCAGGAGAGCCAATAGAAAGCCACCATGGAATAAATCTCCCAATGACAAATTTTACAGTTAAGCATGTATTTCAAACTGGCTTGCAGATGCAGGATGCAGTTTTCAACAGCTGTCTGAAAGATAAGAAATGCCACAATGACATATTATCAAAGCCAGCGGCATTATCATCCTATTAAAATCATAATTCCCCTTTGACTAACCAATGATCAATATAGGAAATAAATGTCAAGCAAGTCCTGTTAACCAGTCCCCTGAAGTGAAATTCATTATCCCACCCATAAAGATGGGAATCTGTCTCCTAAGGGGGACGTGGGATGCTCGGTGTATTCCCATGGTTGGATCAATAGTTAGACGGCATGAGTGTGAAGAGTCTTCGCTGTCAGAGAAAAGGAGTGCATGGCCAGGCTTGCTCTCATCCAAAACGATCCTTCTCCCATCTTAAAAAAAAAACTGATTTGAGCTTCTTATTTCTTTGAGCATGCACAAGGACAGCATTTTAAATCATCTGCACAGAGGCCAGGTGGCTAGATGGCTATTCTCATACTTGGCAGTTTACTTTGTGAAGCAGACAGTATGGGTATTAATATGGCGAGTCAATACGCAGCGTACAAAGATGCTGTTGAAGCTGGTGACTAATGAGAATGAGTGATGGAGTTTGAAGTCGATGAAATGGCGCTTCACCCGGTGAAATTGTCACATTTGACAGCTCGTTTGATTGGTCTTTCTTCAGCAATGCCATGTGAATACCAAATACCAAAGCTGGTGCTTTTACAATATCGCTTACATACAGCCAAACGCACCTCTGGTTTGCCACTGTTTGGACAAATCGAGCCACAAACTTGATATTGGTTGAGCTTATGTTGCTATGTTGGATTTAGATATTTCAGTAAGACTTCTATGCTCATTAAGGCTGCATTTATTTTTAATCAAAATACAGTAAAAAAAACCAGTAATATGTATTTTTTATCTTTTATATATATATAGTGGCTTTGGAAAAAAGCATAGAATACAGTACTTTGATAAATTGACCAAAAACCCTAATTTTAACAAAACCTTTCACATAACTTACATGCAAACTGTAGTGTGGCTCTCTGGCTGAGAATGGTTCCCCGGGTGTTGGAGGCAGTGCACTGGTAGACACCGCTGTCTTGGTCCCGATCCAGGCCGGTAATGATCAGGTTACCCCCAGACTGGTGACGCCTCTCGTCACCAAGAAGATCAATGAGCGTTCCGTTTAGAGACCATCTGGAGAGACGCAAACACAATCAGGAGTGTGGTCTCCAGAGAAACTAACTCACCAATATTCATCACATGCATCGATCTGATGAAGCCTGCTTCATTATACAGCCAGATTCAGCATGAAACAAAGCTCACTGCTGACATTTGTTTTCCTTCTTTGTACTTCTGCAGTACAATCTGACTAATAACCGATGAAAGCAAGCAAAACAGTGCTGAAGAATACGAAAAATCAAATTATTTATTGACCTTGAAGATGTGCAATGTTTAGTCGTGAGTAGGTTTGTTTTAGTTTCCAATAAAATTGCTAGGAAAAACTATGAAAGGTTCATTATTTTTTAGTGTGATTTCAATTATTTAGCTACAGTTATATTTGGAATATAAAATGATTCAATATGGAGTGTGAAGAAATAGAGCAAATTAAACACAGCAACTTGGACTGCTTGACAAAATGCTGCTTGTTGCTAAAGAATTTTATTTATTTATTTTACACACAAAATGTTTGAACTTAACATTAAACCAATGTGGCATCTGCAAACAAATAATGCAATAACTTTTCTTTATCATCTTTTTTTTTGTGGTTACATTTATCCATCTTTTTCTCTTTTTTTCTGAAGTATTTGACTATTTTACCTCAGGTTTAAGAATAACCACACGTGAAGTTCATCATATTTGCTATGGATGTGTTCCAACAACATTCAGCAATTAGAAAGCATCCAAATACTATTTATGTTAATTTTGAAGACTGAAAAAATTTTTTTTGTAGAATATTTTGCTTAAGAACTGTGCTTGTGCTGTCTTTCTTTAAAATAAATGGCAATTGGTTTAATATTTTGTTATGTAATGCAATAACATTCCTCCTAATTTGCGGGTTTATTATCCGTGCTAATGCCATTACACAGTAGGAAGATCATATTATAAAAGTGGAAGGTTTCCATCAGAAAACCAGCTTAATCAATAACTGTAATCACTGTATGGCAACGTCTGTAACAGGGAAAAATGTATCAACTCAGACTTTAGATATCTAGCACTCTTCATATTCAGAACTGACCTTAAACATCATCCATAGTTCTGCTGAATCAGGCATTTGAGAGTCAAAACTTGGCAGAAAACCTTGTGAATGATGGAAACAATGAGGAAATAAAGGTGTTGGCAGGATCTACATTTTTTCACTGGTGTGAAAAACTAATGAGTGTGGTGGACAATGTGGTTTTAAAAAGTAACTGGAGACTCTAGTCTCTCCCAAATCTGACAGACAACAAAGTGTATATCTACTGCAGCTCTCTGAAGCCCATTTCTGCTGCATTATTTATTGATCTCAGTGTGGCAGTCGAGTTAATCTGACTCCTTTAGTCATCATTTGTGAGTCTAATATCATTGCCACTGTATTTGATATCATTTACTGTGACATTCGGCCTGCAGGCTTACACAGTTGATTACTGCGAGGCTGTTTGTTGTAAATACAGACAATATTTGTGTTCTCACAAAGTAGTCAAGTATAATATTATAGCATCAAACTAATCTAGTTTCCTAATACACTTTCAATAGCATGATAAATCAACAAAGCTTCTGCATCCCACATAAAGTGGGGCCCTCCGTGTATAAAATGAATGAAATAACCAGTATATTATCCTGAAAGGATCTAATATCATCTGTGTTGGTACATACACGCCTGCACAAAATAATGTTGTCATCTATTTCTTAGTGTAGACAACTTTGATCAAATCAGAACATCCACAGACCACCTAAACACAACAATAGTTCCTCTAATTTTTATGAAAACTGAATATTTGAGATTGCAAACTTAAGAAATATGGTTACTATAACACCTTATATAAGTTAATATAAATATTTCTGTGGTTAAGATGAATCATGATGCTATAAGACACGTCATTTGTCACTTGAGAAGAACCCTACAAGAGTAGCATCTGAAAAACACTGTATGCAATATAATATTAACATTTAGAGAGGATTATAATATATTTGCAATGCATGTGTTAATATGCATATTTTGCTCTCTACATAAGTGGTATAGTCCTAAATCTGTTTCATTGCCTCAGCTCGACTGCTTGTTTGAAAATGTATTTATTTTTTCAGTTTAGACCAGAGGATTGAATATATCATAGCACTCAGAGGCAAGCTGCTCCTGATGGATCAATAGCCTTAGAATAATATGGAAATAGGAAATATTGATTTCTAGCACATGTGCTGAGATGCTGTATGAGTATTCAGGGGGAAATAATTTCATGCTAATGAAAATATCATGCCCTCTTCCACCCACTCTTCCCCCTTTTCTTCATGTTAAGTGAATGTCATACAATTTTTTTTTTCAAATGTGTTACTCATTTTATTAACTATATAGGCTAAAAAATTTAATGAGGGGAAAAATTACATAGTGCATGTTTACTATGAAACAAAATAGTCGCAGTGTAACAGAAGTAGCGGCAGATCTTTTTTTCACAGTATTGTAACTTGCATCCAAGTGAAATGGTTTATCGAGAAAAAAAATGATGGCAGGGACTTGGTTCAATCCATCAGTTGTTGACTGGATGGAGGCAGAGCTGAATTTGTAAGAAAGGGGCGGGGTTTATGCAGACAAAATAATTGGAAAACTCCAGCATACCTCACCAGAGAGAAGTCTGTTGTTTCACTGGATGATTGAATTATGACATTTTGATTACAAATTACTAGGTCATTTTTATGTGCATATGCATGGATGGATTATTCACAATAAGATCAATAACATGCATTTAGAAAATACAACAGTTTGATACTGGCGCAGTACCCTCAAAAGTACCCTTATATCTACCTATTAGTACCTTTTGACAGTGCTAAACCAGCACATTGTGAATAAGTTTATCTTACAAGATTCAAAAGACCCTAACATCATACACTCTAAATTGCAAATATTATTTATTGATTTCCCATGGATACTCTTTTTGTATTGAGTCCTATTTAAAGTCATACAGAAAATTGTGGACCAATGGTAATTGGTGCATGAATGATCGTTTTTAAAGGCTAGATGACGAATTACAAACAATCCAGTCTCCAAGGAGCCCCTTAACAAGAATCAAAAAGGCTTAGAAGTGACAGGGAGCCAAAGTATTTTCAGATAATGAGTAGAGGGCCTAGGGCCTCCAGTGCTTTTCTATCCATGACAAAAAGTTATCTGAAAAGTTTAATGGACAATTATGCTGCCCCCGCACACTGAACTGTCCAAGCCTCCATCAGTATCACTGACGTTATGATCCTCACACTATTATTACTGTCATGATTAACGTCTCCATCATCATAATCTTTATTATAATCTCTGTTACTTCAGACTACATTAACAAACTGCCCAGACACAAAGCCTACACCTGCTCATTAGAGAAATATCAGAAAAGTGGACATGGAAAATGCAAAAAATAAAAATAGTGACGTACAAAACAGTCAACTCCAATTATCCTTCCAAAAGAAAGCTCCGCAGTGCTTCGTACAACCGAGAAAGCAACCTGCGTTCAACAAAGATCATGCTGGAGCCGAGTTAATGAGGGCCGACACAAGAGCACCTCTGACTTTCTCTGTGTAATCTCTGCATTTTAACCAGCTCTCCTTCACATTCTCGTCTTTGATGACTGCCTGCTCCATGGACCAGGGTTCAAATCCTTACAATCTCGAAAGCATGCTGGGCAGGTTGAAAATCCTGTCAGGTTAAATGTAGGTTGGGAAAACAGATTCTGAGCTTTTTCAAAGGATTTAAAACAGCATCGTAGGGAGACCTAAAGTGAGTGAAACAGAACTTCTTTGGCACTAACAATGCCAAGGCGATGGGTTTGATTCCCCAGGAAAGCAAAAACTGATAAAAATGCATACCATGTGTGCAAGCTGTTACAATGAATGTAAAAGAAGTTTACTTAGATGAACAACTGAGCAACGCCTTGTTGCTCTTTCAAAATGAGGCACTCTCCAAAACCTTTACTCTCTGTTCTTCTCTGGTGGAATGAGCTGCAAACCTGCACTGTTGAGACCTAATTCAAGAACTATATCACTTAACCACCACAAACCATTAAATCAATGCACTTGCGCACTCACACACAAAGTTTTCTTCTCTGCATTCTCTCTTGCTTTCTAATCTAGTTGTCAAATAAACCTGCCATTGTACATTACAAATATTGTTGGCTCCTTGACAAATAGCTTTTGTTCTTCTTCTGTAAGTCGCTTTGGATAAAGATGTCTGCTAAATGCATAAATGTATAATGCAAATTTTTGCTCTACGAACGTTTGGCGACCACAAGAGCCCACAAATGATTGTTGGTAAGAGCTGTCCTGTGGCCTCACATTCCCTCACAGCCTACCTTATCCGTCCCTGTAGACCCACACTACCACATTAATACAACTTGGCTTTTACTGGACCAAAAAACAAACCACAGATTACTAGAGAGTTGCTAGGTTCAGGGTTGTTACTGCACTCTGATTTTTTTGTTTCTGTGTAATGCCGGCATGCTGAAGATCTTTCGCTCTGTGCTTTTACATGTTAAGCACTAAATGTTCTTCAAAGCGCAGACCAATTATCTAACCGGGGCGAAAGAAGCCTTGTTATGTGTGAGTGTTACATGAAGCACATCAGCATGTTCTGTAGATGTGTTAAAGTATAACTGCATAAGCGAGGTGCTGGACAACACAACACAGACCACTAAACCTGTGACACATTTGAACTCTATTGAGAATTTTCTACTTTAAAAGCACTATTGGGGAAGTCAAACAACTCTGCTAAACACCTCAAACAGCTAGACAACCTCAGCAAACAGCGCTGACAAAACAAGTGGAGAAACACCAACAGAAATTAAGGCTTTTCAAAGTACACATCAACACCCTTACAACAGTTTATCATGGTTTAACTTTAGTAACAGTAGCTGTGCTATTTTCACAGAAATGTCTGAAGGATGAAGACAACTACTTAATTTTCAATACAACTGTGATTCTCTGATATTTAGGTGAAAAAAAAACTTGTTGGCCTTCAGATATTTCAAGGAATAAATTATCACAAGCCTGATGAACGAAAAACAAATCAGCTAAGGAAAACAAAGATTTTTATTAGAAGCAAAATCAGTTGTGGTTTATTACCAGGGTTTGAAATTAACACCCGCCAACCCGCCAAATGCGGGTAAAAATCAGCTGTGGCGGGTAACGCTGTCAAATCACTAATCTTTTCATTTTTTTAATAATTTCAAATATCAGTATTAAACATTTCATGTTTAAAATATCAAAACATTACTTATGCATTTGTAACTGCAGGCTAAAGCATTCCATGTCCCTCTAAGCTGCATTAACATGTGTAAATACATCTAAATGCCACTTCATATGC